GAGGGCGGGGTCAGGTGGGAATTCCCTCCCTTGCAGGTTTTGTGGGGCCCTGGCTTATTGACATGCGTTGTTGTTGTTGTTCAGTCGCACAGTTGAGTCTGACTCTTCGCGACCCCATGGACCAGCTCCCGCCAGGCCTTCCGGTCTTCCGCCGTCCTCTGAAGTTGGCTCAATTTCATGTTCGTTGCATCTATGACACTGTCTGACCATCTCATCCTTTACCGTCCCCGTCTTCTTTGACCTTCAATCTTTCCCAGCATCAGGGTCTTCTTCTCCAGTGAGTGCTCCCTTCTCATTGGGTGGCCAAAGTATTTGAGCTTCAGTTTCATTATCTGGCCTTCCACGGAGCAGTCAGGGTTGATTTCTTTTAGGATGGACTGATTTGATCTTCTTGCAGTCCAAGGGACATGCAAGAAGACATGGGTACTGCATGCACATTTGTTATGGTTTTAATAAGATTACAAGAAACTGTGAAGAGGTTAGGATTAGGTTTTGTGGCAGGAATACTTAGTAGATAATGTAATTGAAACCCCGAAAACTGAAAAATTAGTCTGACTGAAAAATGAGAAAATTTGTCAAGGGCCATCTATATGACTACTACTTCCTCAAGGGCATCCCATGACGCTGATGGGCAGTAGGCTCAGGACGGACCAAAGGAAATGCTGCTTTACACATAGAGTGATTCAAATGTGGGATTCGCTGGACAGAAGATGTAGTGATGGCCACAGCAATGAGCAGCTTTAAAAGGGGATTAGTTAGACTCATGGAAGGTAGGTCTGACAGTGGCTACTAACCATGGCGATTAAAGGGAACCTCCACATTCAGGGGCAGTCAACCTTTGAACCCCAATGCCAGGAGGCAATGTCATGGGAAGGTCTTAGCCTCTATGCCTTGTTTGTTGGTCCTCCAGAGGAACTGTCTGGCCACCGTGTAAGACAGGATGCTGGACTGGATGGACCACTGGTCTGATCCAGCAGGGGTCTTCTGGTGTTCTTCTCAGGGGAAGGCCTCGGCTTATCTGCCCTGTTGTTAGACCTCCAGAGGAACTGGCTGGCCACTGTGTGAGACAGGATGCTGGACTAGATGGACCCTCACTGGTCTGACCCAGCAGGGCTCTTCTGATGTTCTTATGAAGGCCTCGGCGTCTGTGCCCTGTTGTCGAACCTCCAGAGGAACTGGTTGGCCATTGTGGGAGACGGGATGCTGGACTAGGTCGACCTCCACTGGTCTGATCCAGCAGGGCTCTTCTGATGTTCTTCTCAGGGGAAGGCCTCAGCTTCTCTGCCCTGTTGTTAGACCTCCAGAGGAACTGGTTGGCCATTGTGGGAGACAGGATGCTGGACTAGGTCGACCTTCACTGGTCTGACCCAGCAGGGCTCTTCTGATGTTCTTCTCAGGGGAAGGCCTCAGCTTTTATGCCCTATGCCCTATGCCAATGGCTCTCCAGAAGAACTGGTTGGCCACTGCGTGAGACAGGATTCTGAACTAGATGGACTATTGGTCTGATCCATCAGGGCTCCTCTGATGTTCTTACTTCAGTGTTTAAGCAGGAAGACAAACATTTTCTTGTTTAAAATTAGGCATGGATTTATCAGTTCACGGAGGACGCTTCCTTATTCCAAATAAGGCAGAGCTTATTGTACCATAAACCCTCTCCAGTGGTTAGTTTCTTCAAGATCCATTTAGTAATCACAGTGAGCTCTTAGCTTATTTAGGGATGGCCGGTTGGCTAGGGGAGATGGATTCTTAGCTAATAAATTGAGCAGATGGCCATTAAGACGGAGTGTTGCAGTCCAGTGCAGCCTGACAGGCACGGTCCTCCTGAAAGATGGAGGGAGAGCATTCCTGAATGATTATCGGTGAGCTTTTTCCAACACAGCAAGGAACATTTTACCAGAGAAAGATTGCATTGCTATATTTAGCCACTGGCTATTACCAAGGGAGAGCAGGGCATATTTAATACACGCTTTTAAGCTGAAGGAAATACAGGCACATCTCCTCTAGCTTCAGTTAACCATGGCGGGAAGATATTTTTTTTAACTTCCTTTTTTGTGTGTGTGCGTGCTGACATGTAATATTACACATGACTAGTTTTCAGACGTTTCTCTCCTGTGGCTATAAATGCATTTCTCAATCCTAAAGTACATAATTTACATAAATGTGTTATTTATATCGTCTTTTCTTCGGCTCCTCTGTTTGCGCGGATTCCCGAAGGGTTGTCTTGTTAGTCCGTTTCAGCCAAAACAACAAAGAGAGTCTTGTGGCATCGTGAAGACTCAGGCTTTTATCGAGGCAGAAATTTTTGTGAGCCAGGATCCTCTTATTTTTTATTTATTTATTTTATTTCGTTTATACCTCGCCCTACCCGCACGCGGTCTCAGATCCTTCTTCTTCAGATCCCTGCCTTATGAAGGTTATATCGCCATAGATAAGGGGGGGGGGGTTGTCCGTAAGATATCACATGTTAGCTAAATCAGTGGGTGTCTCAGGCGTACATCCTCACACAGCCATGGGTCTTGCTTGGGTGTCTTTTGTGCCAAGTGGTCTCTCTCAAATGAGAAAGCTCCTGTTTAGTGGGAAATACTTGATGGGGTATGGGTGTCTTAAATATGAGTGCTTGTTGGGGGGTGTGTGTGTGTGTGTGGAAGGGCGATTCCTGAAATGATATCCTGGGGTTTTTTAACATCTAATCTTCTATGGTAGTTAAAATTCTGGGGGGTTTTAAGTACCATATTTAGTCAAAAACTAGATGACTCTGAATGTAAAACAAGCCTCCCAGTGTTATACATTTAAAAATTATTAGTGGATTACTGTATGTTATATGCGAATGTTAAGACAACCTGCCTTTTTCAATGGTGTGTGTGTCTAAAGTGCCGTCATAGAATCATAGAATCAGAGCTGGAAGGAGCCACAGAGGCCATTTAGACCAACCCCCCGGGCTCAACACAGGATCAGCCTAGAGCAGGCATGTCCACCAAAGTGCCGGTGATCTACCACCATGAAAATAAAGTCTCAAATTAGTCTCAAATTAGATTTTAACCCATTAAAGTTGGGTTCCACCCCCCCCTCCCCATTTATAATGCACCTTCTGTCATTGACTGGTAAGCAAAATAAGCAAAAACAAAACAGAGAGACGATGATCCAGAAATAATTGCAGACATTTTTTTTTAAATTTTTTATTGAGTTATAACTTTCTTTTAACTGTGGGGCTGGTGATCTACCTCTGACCCCTCCGCGATCTACTGGTAGATTGCGATCTACCTGTTGGACATACCTGGCCTAGAGTATCCCTGACAAGTGTACTGTGTTTTCGTCAGTCTCCCCCCCCCCAATAATAAGCAGTAAATGGGCCTAAATCCATAGATAACATAACTAAACTAAAAATAACATCTGTGTCCCTTTTAGTTTGCACGTGAGGAAAGGAAGCTCGTCAGCGTGTGTTGTAAAGGCTTGTGAAAAGGCAAATGATTTTTTAGTTATACCCTCCTCCTCCCCCTCTGATCTGAGCTAAGCAGAACTGGTGGGCTTCAAAAAGGGTTGGTTTGCAGATGACGGCTGGCAGTTTGGCATTGGTATGTTGATCTGATGGATTTTTGGTGCCAATTTGGTGTTGTGGTTCAGTGCGCGGACTCTAATCTGGGAGAACCAGGTTTGATTTCCCACCACTCCTCCACTTGCACCTGCTGGATGACCTTGGGCAAGCCATAGTTCTGTCAGAGCTGTTCTTGAAAAAGAGGAGTTTCTGTCAAGAGCTCTCTCAGCCCCACCTACCTCACTGGGTGTCTGTTGTGGGGAGGGGAAGGGAAAGGAGTTTGTAAGCCGTTCTGAAACTCCTTTGGGTAGTGAAGGGCAGGGTATAAATCCAATCTCTTCTCTTCTTCTTTTTAATATGCCAGGTGGCAGAATTTGGCAGACGCTGTTTTTTTGATGAGATGTATGGCCCAGTGAAAGGTATAATATTAACTGTCATGATAACTGCAGTTGTTCCTGAAGCCGGCAGATGAATGAACAGTGAAAGTTTTAGCTGTTAATCTTTTTGTGTGTGTGTGTGTGGGGGGGTATTGTGATCCCATCTATTGCCTGGTACTGCAAAGTCCCGTTATTGTGAAACTACAGACTGTTAGAAAGCCTTGCACTAGGGGAGAAAAAGGAATTTGAGACAGCCCGTGAATGAGCGAAGAAGTTCTTTTACTCTGAGCGCCACGTAGTAATAAGTCGTAGTTAAACGTTAAAATGTTTTTTAATGGTGTGAGATACTCTTTTAACAAACAGGCTGGTTTTTAGAATGCTGGTGTGATGTGCAATCTTCCCTCTAAGCTGAGTTAGTGTGAGCCAGCTCACCGTTTTTTAGCCTGCAGCTCACACATTTTTGTCTTCGCTCAGGAAGGATGGCTCCAGAGCAAACTGATTTAGGCAGTAGCCAAATCGATTGCTCACAACTTTAATGCCAGAAGCTCACAAAGTAGAATTTTTGCTCACAGGACTCCACAGTTTAGAGGGAACATTGGTGATGTGTTGATGCCCAGGTGGTGTTAGCCGGTGGCTTCAAGCCAGAATCCGTCAGCTGTATCGATACTTTGAGATTTCCAGCTGCCTTTTCAAAGCTTTCAGCGGGGCTCCCTCCATCTTGTAGTCCTTAAGACTTCCGTTTTCAGCTCTGTGTCAAACGTCATTGTTGTAAAAATGTCAATTCCTTGTACATCTTGCTCCTGCATCTTCAAAAGCGTCTCTTGAAACAGCCTTCTGTTTTCTTTGGAAAGCTGCGAGTCTTTATCTCCCAAAGAGAGATTGCTCTTCCATACGGTTTCTTCCTGATGATAGACAAAAACGTAGCTCTGGTCTTAAGTCTCCCTGAATTTTCTGATGTGCCTTGGTGACTCTCACAAATGCCCCGGCATTCCCCCGAATTAATAGACAAGGTGAGCCCTTCTGTCTATCGAATGGATGTTTTGGGATGCTGTTTGTGCGTGTCCACTCAAGTCTGCCTTCTTTCCCCGCAGCGTCAGACAACAGCCAGCGGTTTCGAGAAACCTGCTTTGCGTTTGCCCTCACACCGCAGCAAGTGCAGCAGATCAGCAGTTCCATGTAAGTGGCCGTGGTCTTTAAAACACCTTCCAGTGCAGTAGGTCTCTCTGTTTCTCGCTCTGTATAGGTTTATTTTATTTTATTTTCAGGATGCATTGTGACGTTCCCTCTACGCTGTGGAGCCTTGTGAGCAAAAATTCTACTTTGTGAGCCACTGGCATTTATTTATTTATTTATTTATTTATTTATTTATATCCCGCCTTGCTTAAAGTTGTGAGCGAGCGATTGGGCTGCTGCATCAATCAGTTTGCTCCGGGGCCCTCCTTCCTGAGCTCAGGCAAAAATGTGTGAGCCGGAGGCTAAAAAAACTGTGAGCTGGCTCACACCGACTCAGCTTAGAGGGAACACTGGTGGCAGCTATTAAAGTCTTCTTAAGAGGCATGCAGGGAGGGTGGAATTGGGGAGAAATACAAGGCAGGGAACGTGGCAGGAGCTCAGGGGAGGCTGTTGATACGACGCAGAAAGGGAGTCTAGACAGGCAAGTGACATTCCTGGCTCTGGCTGCCTGCATTGTGGTCTGAGCGGCCTCTCCTAAAGCAGCGCACAGAAGAAGTCGTGAACCGCCTTCTCTCACTCTGGAGCTCTGAGCCGACTGCCGTACGGAAGCACCAGTAAGCCTGGTAGTCACACAACTGGCCCATGAACACGCATGAAGCTGCCTTCTACCGAATCAGGCCTTTGGTCCATCAAGGTCTGTCTTGTCTACTCAGCCTGGCAGACGCTCTCCAGGGGCTCAGGCGGAGGTCTCTCACTCCTGCCTGGTCCTTTTTAACCGGAGGTGCTGGGAATTGTACTGGAGGCCTTCTGCTTGAACATAAGAGACGCCAGTGTTGGATCAGGCCAATGCCCCATCCAGTCCAGCACTCTGTGTCACACAGTGGCCAAAAACACCAGGGGCCATCAGGAGGTCCAGCAGTGGGGCCAGGGCACTAGAAGCCCTCCCACTGTTGACCCCCCCCCCCAAGCACCAAGAATACAGAGCATCCCTTGCCCCAGACAGAGTTCCTATAAGAACATAAGAGAAGCCAATGTTGGATCAAGGCAGTGGCCCATCCAGTTCAACACTCTGTGTCACACAGTGGCCAGAAATACCAGGGGCCATCAGGAGGTCCATCAGTGGGGCCAGGACAGTAGAAGCCCCTCCCACTGTTGACCCCCCCTCCCAAGCACCCAGAAGGCAGAGCATCCCTTGCCCCAGACAGAAGAACATAAGAGATGCCAATGTTGGATTAGGCCAAAGGCCCATCCAGCCCAACACTCTGTGTCACACAGTGGCCA